ATGACATTCCCTTAGCCTGTGTTGACTATTCCCTCTCATCTCTACGTGTGTCCCAAATGAGTGTCTCAATCACTGGTGCCAACTGCCCGACCACGTGCTCACTCGACTCGGCCACCGATATGACCATCAGCACACATCTCAACAACCATGGTCAAGCTTAATTGCAAACAACCATGCACACTAATTGATTAATTCAATACAAAAAATAATGTAATTAAAAGTCTTTAAAAATCATTGAATTTTCTTTAATTAAATTGAAATAAATATATATTTAAGCATTGAATGAATTGTTTAGATAAATGTGTATAAAATTATAATTAATATATTTTTTAATTGACAGCAAATCAACGTTAAAATCATAGAAAACAAAATTAATAAAAAATAAACACAAATATTTGACAACAAATGTACAAAACTATGAAACTGTTATAATCTGTTGATATTTCAGATGTTTATTACAGACAAACGATGGTATGGTTTGAATGCAAAGAGTTGGATGACTGATCCGCCACTCATTGTAATCCATGGCAACAATTCGCCACAAATTGTAAATCAGAAACAAACAAATGATGGATAAAATGACATCAATTTCAACAATCCATTGGTATATAAGCGAGAAATTATGGTATACGAGAACCGATGCCAACAAAACGACCAATAAATAGATGACAATCGCCAAAAGGAGAGCTGTTTTGTGACGATTTATACCATTATAGATGTCGAGGACATAGTCTTTGAACGGAGGGGACAGTCGTGTCAATCGTATGAACCGGTATTGCGATCGACAGACACCGCAGACATCACTTCTGGACACAGATATCCATTCAATGAGACAACAGTAGTGAACGGCAGCCGCAGAGCCGGCGCACAGACACGGCTCCACCATCTGAGAGATCTGGTCATCGCTCAGACATATACGACATGTCTTCAGGTGTTTGGCCGCCAGTGATGTCGAAGACGGCGAAAACATTGACCAGACTTTGAGGCACTTCTTGTTTGTCGGGAACTTAAGTAATGTTTATTAAGTTTTTAATCAATTAATAAATTTGTTTAAATTGTATTTTTAATTACCTTTTAATTGAAACCAATGGTTGACACAAATTAATGATCATTTGTTTAAAACAATTCTCATTTCAATAGCAATAGAAATGTTTGCAAAACTTGTACTAAAGTTACAGTTGTTTTTTCTCCATTAAAAACAATACAAGTTGTGAACAGTTTTGATGTGAAATTAAACTGTTTTTTACAACTTATCATTTCTTCATATACAGTAGACCTCCGATGACTGATCCAAAGTGTGATAATTTACTAATTAAGACATTTTCAAACTTTATGTTTGATTTGAACTTAAAATAAACAAATTTTGTGAAAAGATTTCAATAAAATATTAATAATTGATGTAATTTTTGATAAAACTTTCGCGAGATTTATATTGAAATTTCATCGATAATTCTAATAATGACAACAATTATAATGATATGAATTGAAACATAATTCAAACATTTAGACAATAAATTCGTTTTTTACTTGAATTTCAATTGATTTCAATTTGTTGTTTATCTAAACCACAAATTATCGCAATTTTTGCGTCTGTTTTGTATCTCTTGTGTTGACAAAAAAAATGTATAAATCTGTAGACATTATCAAAATAATATCGCTTTTGTTATTAACATTTTGTATGTATTCATAAGTAAATCATTATTATGTAAAATAAGTATAATATTTTTGATGAAAATACTTTTAGTGGAAACCTATGGACGGCCGCCACGACCGCCACCGCCGCCCACAACCACAACAGTCCCGCCATTTACTCTCTCTGCCGATGATATGTCTAAATACGGGATTAACGACAAGAACTGTGGCCTCAAAGGCTTCACACCCGAAACCATTGACATATTGTATAACAACACTAAATGTTTTCACAACAGCTATAGTCCACTATCAGAGATGGATATGAATGGCCCGCACTTATGGCCTAAACAGGATCTGACGACCAGTCGTATAATGGGTGGTGTGGGCAAAGCTAAGTTGGGCGAAGCACCATGGGTGGTTTACATTATCAGCTATGGTTATGAGTGGGAACGAGGTAGCGTATCTGGGGGTGTACCACCTTGGAAAAAGTATAGCATTGAGTGCAGCGGTGTATTGGTTGCCAAACTATGGATTTTAACGGCCGCCGAATGTTTCAGACCGTGAGTAGCGTTAAAAATACATTAAATTATATTTTGATTAAGTAATTACAGTATAAAATCAAAGTGATATTATAATTGTTTAATAATAAATTATTATTAATAATGAATATAACATTTTATATTTTGAATGTATAGTCAAGGGACCTGGAATTGGTTTTCAAGGCATTTTATTAGGTTTGGTAATAATAAAGAGATAGGACAGGGAATAATGGGACAGGTGAAGTGTACAGTTAACTATACTTACTATGGCGTCGGCCGCACAGACGGCGTGGCTCTGTGTCGGCTCCATCAGGACTTCAACATCCAGATAGAGGGTAGTGGACACATGTTGGTCAACACCGTATGCCTGCCTGAGTCGCGTCGAGTGCTCACTCGCACCGAGTTGGCCACAATGTACGGCTTTGGAGAGACCGACTCGTATAAGGCTACTGATAATTGGTTACGTAAGGGTGTGATTAAACTACAACCGTCCAGCGCTTGTCCCGATCCCTATCCCGAAAACCTGTGCTCCGATTACAAGAGAGACAACATATCCACACCATGTTATGTGAGTGGCATTGGTTTTGCTGTTCATATGATTTATTTTTAAAATTTAATTTTCTGTAATTTTTAGGGCGATTTGGGCGCCGGTGTTGTCCAGTATACTGACAAATACGAGACCCGGGCTATACTGGTTGCCACACACGTCAATCGGTCAAAATTCGCTGACAGAACTTGCCATGATCAATACAGTTATTACATCTCCACCGCATATATTATGGATTGGATATTACAGACAATTTCAACCAAAACACCTTGATTATCTGATTATTATTATACTATTATTTTATTTCTTTGTGACCTTTATTTTGTTGAACTAAACTGTTTTATAGAAATTTTTATTTATTTTATGATTAAATGTAATAAAAATAATTGTTTTTGATATGGGTTTCATTTTGGGGTAACCAATAACTAACTATAACAAACCCAAAGGTGATTAACGATAATCAAAGATTATTACAGAGTATTTACAGTAGTATTGCTAAACGGGCCGTGATTGTGAGTGAGTATGAAAAATTTTTCACACGCCGTGAGTAAGTTTGACTCTTCATATAGACCTCCGATGACTGATCCAAAGAGTGATAATTTACTAATTAAGACATTTTTCAAATTTATGTTTGATTTGGATTTAAAATAAACAAATTTTGTGAAAAGAGTTCAATAAAACCAATCAATAAAATCAATAATTGCTGTAATTTTTGATAAAACTTTCGCGAGATTTCAATTGAAATTTCATCGATAATTATAATGACAACAATTATAATGATATGAATTGAAGCACAATTCAAACATTTATACAATAAATTTGTTTTTCAATTGAATTGGAATTGATTTCAATTTGTTGTTTATCTAAACCACAAATTATCACATTTTTAAGTCTGTTTTATATCTCTTGTGTTAACAAAAGAAAAATGTATAAATCTGTAGACATTATCAAAATAATATTGCTTTTGTTATTAACATTGTGTATGTTTTCATAAGTAAATCATTGTTATGTAAAATAATTATAATATTTTTAATGAAAATACTTTTAGTGGAAACCTATGGACGGCCGCCACTGCCGTCACCGCCGCCCACAACCACAACAGTCCCGCCATTCACTCTCTCTGCCGCTGATATGTCTAAATACGGGATTAACGACAAGAACTGTGGCCTCAGAGGCTTCACACCCGAAACCATTGACATATTGTATAACAACACTAAATGTTTTCACAACAGCTATAGTCCACAAACAGTGATGGATATGAATGGCCCGCACTTATGGCGTAAACAGCATCTGATGACCAGTCGTTTAATGGGTCGAATGGCCAAAGCGAAGTTGGGCGAAGCACCATGGGTGGTTAGCATTATCAGCACTGGTTGGAAGTATAACTTACCGATTATCGTACCTGTGACAAAAATCAGCATTGAGTGCAGCGGTGTATTGGTTACCAAACGATGGGTTTTAACCGCCGCCGAATGTCTCATACCGTGAGTAGCGTTAAAAATACATTAAATTATATTCTAATTAATTGATTACAGTATAAAATACAAACGATATTATAATTGTTTAATAATAATGAATATATCATTATATATTTTTAATGTATAGTCAAGGGGAAAGCTTTCAAAAGACTTTTATTAGGTTTGGTAATAATAAAGCTGAATTAGTGGGAATAGTGAACGAAGTGAAGTGTGAAGTTAACTATACTCAATATGGCGGCGGCCGCTCAGACGGCCTGGCTCTGTGTCGGCTCGAGCCGTACGTCAACATCGAGATAGAGGGTCAACTCATGTCGATCAACACAGTATGCCTGCCTGAGTCGGGTCGAGTGCTCACTCACACCGAGTTGGCCACAATGTACGGCTTTGGAGTGTATGACTTGCAAAAAGGCACTGATAATTGGTTACGTAAAGGTGTACTTAAACTACAGCCGTCCAGCGCTTGTCCCGATCCCTATCCCGAAAAGCTGTGCTCCGATTACAAGAGAGACAACACATCCACCCCCTGTTATGTGAGTGGCATTGGTTTTGCTGTTCATATAATTTATTTTTAAAATTTAATTTTTTTGTAATTTTAAGGGCGATTTGGGGGCCGGTGTTGTCCAGTATACTGACAAATACGAGACTCGGGCTATACTGGTTGCCACACACGCCAATCGGGGACAATTCGCTGACAAAGCTTGTCATTCACAGTACAGTTATTACATCTCCACCGCATATATTATGGATTGGATATTACAGACAATTTCAACCAAATCATAATTGTTGTTGGGTTAACAAACCTTCATTATCTTATTATTATTTTACTATTATCTTATTTCTTTGTGACATTTTTTTTTTGTTGAACTAATTTGTTTTATAGAAATTTTTATTTATTTTATAATTACGGTAAATGTAATAAAAATAATTGTTTTTAATATGGGTTTCAATTTGGGGTAACCAATGCTTAACTATAACTAATCCAATCGAAATATACAATGAATATTATTTAGAAATGCAAATCAATTTTAAAAAATCAAAATATATTTTCAGTTTAAGTTAAGGTTAAAAACAATTTGAATGAAATTAGAAATGTCTGTCAAAAATACTTTCAAATAGTTTTCTAAAATAAGGATTCAGTGTTTGTTTAATTTGGCAGTGGTTTGAGTGTTGTTTGCATTGAATCGATAGGCAATGAAAGCGACAATAATTGTCGACACAATCAGAATCAACACAAGTATTGCCAAAATATATGAAAATACGTGTGATGTCTGAAATTCAGAGGACAAGTGTTCAGTCGATGACTTTGTTTGTGGGCACCAGTCCTGTGGATATTCATCTAAACGCTATTTCAATGATATAAATAATACTTATTATAATTTATACACAAATTTATAGTAAATCTATCATAAATTAATAGTAAAACTGATGACAAACTCTAATTTTAATTAAGTCGAAGAGTTTTTTGTTACGAAAATCGTACAAATCGTAGGCATATAACTGGTTATTATCAACCTTTCCGTCGTTGGCCACCAAATGAATTGAAATAACGGTTTCAATGTGTATGTGATTGACTAAATCTCTGCGTGTTATGTAATAGACACCAATGATCTTGGTAAATTTGATGTCGTAGTACAAGTAGGGTACGGGCACACCAAACTCCATATTGTGGGACATATTAACGAACGGGTAATATATCTGTAAATGCATTTTATACGACTCGTTAGTGTGGGCGACAGTAATGTAGTGACGATTATTAGTGTCCATAACGTATAACTCGGGAAACCGATGCGAGTTTTCCCGGAATGAGAATAGTATTGATTGAAACGGTTTTTCGGCCCCATTTATGTGCGGCCCATATGTCTGGTCGAGTATATACCGGGCGGGAGTCTTATTGGGGTCGGGGATCGGGTATAGAGTTTGAATGCCATTCCAGGCGCTGTTATAATCGTATCCAAACAGTCCGTATACGGCGCGTCCTATCGATCGATACGTATGACTACTTATGCCGTGAATTATCACTTCATAAAAGCCTAATTTATCGTTGAGTTCTACTGAATACCCGGTCACACGATGTCGAGTGTCTTTGTATTAATGTTTGACATTTTAATGTTTATTGTAAAATAATCGACAATACATTTATTTATTTAATATAATTACCAAAATAAGTGCCCAAAAGTTGAGTGACATGTTTGTCAAATATCCACTTATTTACGTCGAGGTTGTAGTAATAAAAATAACGGCCCGTTTGATGGTATATATGGGGACCGATATTAAAGACACTTTGATGTGAATTATATTCGCGGTTCACTTCACACACGCCTTCAGTATAACTACTGATCACTGAATATGTCATGTATTTTGCCGGACATGTGATATACAGATCAAACCAATTGCTGAAATTTTCTTTTTGAAACTATTATACAATAAATATTTAAAATTATAATTTTTACATAAAACTAATGTAATACCAGTTCCCCCGCATTCAATGTATGGCTGAATGAAAACAATCCGGTTGTGTTGCCTGAAGTTACTGAAGCGTATAAAGTGTCAGGATCAATTGTGGAGATGTTATTGTGAACAAATAGCCCGTGTATAAAGTAACCAGGTTGCTTTTTTGATTTAATCACACTCCATTTGATGAGTGGATCAAGGGCAACGTTTGCGCCATAATTTATATGATAATCCCAAACAAATTTATGAATGCATTCATAGTCTATATAGGCATCGGTTGCTGTGATAGCGACGACTACTGTATTTGTCATTTCATGCTCTGATTGATAGCCAGTAATGGCCCGGAAGTCGTGTTTCTGACCCAAACTTTGGTGTTTTTGTTCAATAAATTCCGAAAATTGTTTACAAAAATATTGATATCTCTGTTCGGACTGTTTGTATGACTCGAGACCATAGGGTGTGTATACAAAAGGTATAGGTTTGGGACGTTTCTTGAAAATTGTGGTCTCATATGTGTATCCAAACAAACAAACGCTGTAATGATATTTGGATTTCTGGAAACCAAAGACACACTCATAAGCGGAAAGACTTTTACGAGTTTTACAATAGGCGTCATTGAAATATATGGACGACTTGTATGTGAATGCGTATACATTTTGCGAGATGTCTGCGATTAGTATTGATATAATGATTATATTTCATTAATTGGTAACAAATATATTGTGAATACAAACCAATGCCTTCATATGGACCAATCTTTTTGCTGGAGAGAAGTGTGGGTATGTCTGACCGGTAGTCAATGTTGTCAACTCTACCGCCGCCGCCAAAACGGGTCGATTGAAACGATTGGTTAGTGAATCCCAAACTATTGTAACGCCAAAAGCTGGCGTTTCTTTGGAGGTATATATCGTATCCCAAACTGAAAACACTATTAAACTTAAACTCTTGGCCGCAAATGTCAAACGGAGCGAACGGTTTGGGTCTTTCATTACATCGCGTGAGTCTCTCAAAAGTTACATCCTTTGCATTGAAAATACAATTATAATGTTAACAATATTTACCATCTATTTATTTGTTGTATTGTATTATAAATAGAAATATAATTACCGTATTATATACACTTAACTCAAATCCATTGGTAGTATTTGTCTCCACTATTTTTGTAAGACTTGAATTGATTTTACAATCTGTGGGACAGATATAAGAGTATTGATGGCCGGGAATTGCCATCAGTATTGGCCGCTCACCCAAATCACGCAGAGATAGGGCTTTGACCAGATTGTCGTCAAACAGTATATTATACGAAAATAGTTTATTAACACCGACTGCCGTTACGATCGACACGATTGCCATACTATTGTGTATTACAATTCCCGTGTCTTCAGTCCGATAACTAGTGGTTTGTATTGACTTAATATTTTGTTTTGCATCAATAAACGGAAATATTTCATTCAATGTTTTGTCGCAATAGTCTCGGAGTAATCGGAGATCATTTGATTTGCTATATTTTGCTAAACACTTGACGTCTTCGCCGCATATATTGAGCCAAAACTTATTTTCCTGATAATAGTATTGCAAGACTACGATCTCAACTGAAAACAACAAGATGTTTATTAATTTACACAGATTTACTGTATTGTTAATGTTTTATGTCATACTTGGGTAATATTTATCGAGAGAGTGGATGCAAACCAAGTCTATGTTATCGTCGTTGTCCGTCTGTCTGGCCATTGGGCACATGTATTGGTATTGATTTTCATTAACTTTCACATTATTTATTTCTATGTCACAAAAATTAACTAAATCTGTGTAATTTAACGGATATGCCGTAAACGGATACCTATGTACTATATGCAAATATACATAGGTAATGTATTAGTAAATTTATTACATTAATTTCTTTCATGGTAAATTTAATAATACTTAATTTATACAATATAACTTAACAAAAACTTACACCAATTAAAGTGAGAGAGAAGATTCAATAAATCTGAGGTATTTTGTGAATTCTTATAACAATAATTATTCACATATGAAATGGTGTTTTTATTATCGTCCGAATTGTCTTCAATACCGGTTTCATTCACTTTCCAGATCTCGTACTCCAAGTCTTTGGTTAACATGACTATCTTCATGACCAAAACGTTTAATTTACGTGGGTATTAAAGTTAACGCAATGTTTTTTGTAGATTACTAACTGACGTTGATTAGCGATTCTCTAATTGCTAATAGTCCTAAACATCGGTTTCACAAGACATTATATAAATTTACTTCAAAAGCGATGGATTAAAGGATTTATTTATAAATTTTATGTTTTGAATTTGTGTTGAATTTATATTTTTATAACTGTAATAGCGTTACAATAATTGATTGCATTTGCCGTTTATGTCGACAATAAAATAAAAATAAATTGTTAAAAATCATTTGAATTCAATTATATCAGCGCTTATAATAAAATAATATTTTTAATGTTTTCGTTGTTTGCCACGAGTTATAATAAGTGATTTGAAGTAAATTTCAATTTTAAATCCAATTTTATTTATCTAAATACTGTTTGTTTATTTAGATCTAGATTTAGATAATTGTTTGTATACAAGTGTTTGATTAAAAATGTTTAATTTATTTATAAATATCAAATTAATATTTGTCTTGTTATTAACATTGTGTAAGTTTATGTAACAATGTATTTGTTTTTAATCATACAAAATAGTAATAAAATGTAAATTAATGCTTACTTTTAGTGCAAACCAATGGTCTGTTTGTATCAATCGGTAAATATCCTAATTATGAGTCTTTTGGTGTTAACCACGTGTCGTGTGGATACAGATTCGCTTACGAACCCATAGACATCACATATAAAACCGATTGCTTTCACGATAACTATAAGTCAATAAATTTACACGATATAAACGGTCACTACGATTACCCACATCTGTCGTCCACCAGTCGTTTGACGGGTGGTAGGCATCAAAACTATGGCGAAGGACCATGGGCGGTCAGTATCGAGGTGGCTCATGGTATAAAGGGTGCACAGGGAAACGAAATTTATAATAAAACTCAAAGCAATATCACTCTCTGTTCGGGTGTAATGGTTACCAAACGATGGGTATTAACAGCAGCCGATTGTGTGAAAGTGTAATTACATATTAATTTATTCATATAACAGAATCACTAAGTTTTGACATTTATTAGTTTATAATATATATTATATAACAGCGCGAATCAAAACGAAAGCCTCCGTATATCGGTTACGACCGGCAATCGTCGGTTTAGTGACAAAGTATATCCATCTATTGGCCAACACTTTATGGCAGGCGTGGCATTAGTTC